CCATAATCACAGATAAAACAATTTACCACAACAGACCAGACATCACACTCATTGACAAACACAATAAAATCACATACATTATAGACATAGCCATTCCAAACACTCACAATGTACAAAACACATGCACTGAAAAAATTAGCAAGTACACAGAAATCGCCCAGGAAATAAGGCATCTGGAGGATGGATAGGATGCTTATTGTACCTGTCATTCTCTCCTGCACAGGTATGATACCACACACACTACACAAAAGCCTGGGAACATTACAATTGAATAGAAATACATACATCACACTACAAAAGGCCACTATATTGAATACATGCCACATTGTTAGGAAATTCTTGAATATAGACACTGACACACTTATTTAATTTTAATTTTTGGTTGCTATGCCTTGACTCTGGTCCGGCATAGTAACACAGCCGGACCAGAGTCCGGCTGTGGTATCATAGTATATACCAGTTACACACACTGTTGATACCAGTGTGTGTATTCACAGCCACTGGTATCAACCAAGTATAATCCACTAAACCCAACATAATAATAATAACTGCAGTTTCCAAAAATATGACTAAAACATGAACATAAAAGAATAATTTTTGAATTTTTCTTTCTTCACTCAACAGGTTAATTTTTTGTGAAGACATATTATCAACATTTAAAGTAGTACTATACCAATTTTGCATTTATTTGCTATTTAGTTAATTGTTGTAAAAAGAAAATTTTATGTACATTGAAATTTTGCTGAAATTTAGAAAAATGTTTGTAAAATATATTAAAATTTATTATTTATAACTAATTGAATTAAATATATTATTTTCATTATCTAATAAAATTAATTGAATCTATTTGATTATAAAATTAATAATTTTGTATTTTTACATTTACATCATAAAAGTCATTAAAGGCCATTTAAGAATTTTACTAAATGAATTTTAGTACAACGTATTTGTGCTTGCTTAAACAAATTTTGAAAGCTTTAAACTTGTTCTTAAAAAAACAAAATATTTTTGTTCCATAATAAATATATGTCAAAAATAAAATACTTTCTTGTGTCTTTCCTTATTCTTACCAAGGTAAAATTTTTAATATTTCAGGATTTGTTGTAACACAGCAAGATAAAAAAATAGCTCGAGCAACTGTAATAAATAAAATTAAACCAAGAAGATCACGAGGTAATAAATATCTTTTAAATTCAATTAAAACTAGCAATGTTAAATGTTTAAAATATTAATTAAATATTTTTTTCTAGTTAAAGTTTATAAAAAGAATGCTTATCCTGATATTTCTCCATTACATCTATCAGCTGCTGGAAGAACAGGAAGTTTACCGTCTAATTTTCAACCAGATTTTGTATCTTTGTCTGGAAGAACAAGAAAGTCAAGAAAAAAGGAATCTAGTTGGTTTCATTTTGGCAGTGGGAAAAAAAGAAAAAAATGATTTTTTGATAAAATTATTTAAAATATAATTGTGTGATATTTATTGAATAGAAGAACATGTGGCATACTTATTTCATTTAATTTATACTTTCACAATGAATTTTAAACAAGAAATATTTCAAGTATAAGAATCATACTAGTCTACAAAAGGATGCCAATTAGAATAGATTATTTACAAAATGTAGCTGATTAGTTCAATCTAAAATCTGAGAAACCATAGCTTAAATTCTGTCAAAAGTGAATAAAAATTTACAGAATTCATAATAAATTTAATTGAGTGGGTCATAGTAAATAGAATAAGGATAAATTAGAAATAAAATCTCTCTTGAGAGTTTTATGTTAAAATACGTAGTACATTATTAAAATTTGTATATAAGTATGTGTAACATAATGCTACATGTATAGAAAGAGTACAGAACAATTACACAGTATCACAGCTTGTCGTATTGTAATTACTTTAAAGAAACACTGTGAAATTGTGTAATGTATCAGTTTGTACATTGGTTGTTAGTGAAATAATTCACTGATCAATAACACAAGGTGCCACTTTTTTTAACTTCATCTTTGTTTATTTGATAACAATATATCAATGATATTAATATATTAGTACACGTGCCATGTAATATTATATTCTGATGACATCATAAATGCAGGTACCCTAGTTACAGTTTCTTGTCATTTTCAATGCAAATTAGCAAGGTAGTAAGTAAACGGTATCCGACTGTAAAGAAATGCATACAAGTTTGAAAACAAATAATTGTTGAATCTGTTTCATATTAAAATGCAGTTAAAGCTAGTTCACATTGATAAAATGTACCTATATTTATAATTTAAAAATTTATGTACATTGTGCTTTACATACATTTTAAATTAATCAATATTATATTGTTGATAATGAAATCTATGCATAATTGTTTATTACAAATTAATTGAAACATGTTCTGGTAACAGTCCTGGTAAGCATACTAAAAATTTTATATTTATTGCAAAAAGTTATAAATATGAGTGCCTAAGTGAATTTTTGTAATAGAATATAAATCAAAAAGTAAAGAAGCCTTATGTTTCCCTAAAGTGAAGTATTATTAAAAAGTACATTTGCATTTTCAGCAGCTTGCAAATGTATTTGTACTGTACATGCCATCAAGCTTTTGATAATAAACTGAAGAAAATATAAATTCAAATTTAAATCTATTTTAAGATAAAAAGTTGGAAAATAAAATAACAAAAAATACAATTCTTCCAAATTACCTAAAACAGACATTGTGTAAAAGTAATAATTTTTAAGTCATATTTTGTTTTGATTATTTTATTCAGTTATATGTAATTTTTATTAACTTACATGTAATTCAAACTTTCTGAAATGTTTTTATTTAAATTTAAATTTATTTTTTGTTTAATTCTTTATAATATCCAACGATAATTGCAAGCCGTCTCAAAATTTTGCTTATGTAATTTTCAATAATGCTTCATGTGAGGCCTCTTTATTTTTTAATGATGAATTGATATGATAATTAATAATCACTCCTATTACTTTATATTATTTTAATAAATTTGGGATGATATATAATTTAAGTAAATTAGAATATAATGAAAATTGATTAAAATAGACAATTGTTCATAAAGAGAAAAAATAAATAAAATGCAGTCAAACCTCCAATAATGGTTACTTTCTAATAATGTAAATGGATGGGCATTTTTATCTTCTTCTCAGTGCAATTGTTCAGAGGTTTGACTTTATATAGGATATATTGAAAAAATTCCAAACTGAAATCTATAACTGTAGTAATATTATTATAGTGATACTTATGTTAGTATTTTTCAAAGTATTCTTCCTAATTATTTATACATTTATTGATATTATTTTTTGCAAATAGTAGGAAATTTATATTTCCTACTATAAATTTTGATTGATCCATTATCTTTTCAAACAAAACACACAAATCTTAGAAGCCTATAACCAAAATATTTTAATTAGGATGGATATTTTTGAAATTTATCATTTCAGTGTCAGATCCAATTCATATAAGATTCAAATAAACAATAGAATATTAAGTTTTAAATAAATTGAACAGCTTGAATTTTTTGAACAGTTATTTTTGAATTGTTAACCTTTTTTAAATTAACAAACTTTTTTATAGAGATGAGATTTGCTTTAAGTTCTTTACATAAAATGTGGAAAAAGGTATAGCATATTGAATCTAGGAAGTAATCTACAGTATATACAGTGGAAAAGAATAGAAATTTCGTGATACTAGATTATACTAAATTAATAATTCGACAGAACTGCAAACTTCTGCATCACAGATATTTCTCAAAATAGGCTATACTTTAAAATATTGTGAAAATATTTATTTATGGCTTTGTTTTCAGATATTACAGTATATTGTTTTTTGCTGTGGAGTCTGAGTTGGAGTCAAAAGCAATTCTTGAATTTCTGGAGTCAGAATTGTAGTCAGAAAAAATGGACCAACTCCAAACTTCAACAGTCATGGTTCTAAAAAGTAGTCTGATGATTCACATTAAGAATGATAGCATGACTTGTATGATGCATGCTTTTAATTGATATAAAAAGTATGTAAATAAAGGGAGTCAGAGTTGAAGGGACCATAAACTGAGGAGTTGGAGTCAAGGAGTTTGTGCACTGACTCCACAGTCCTGTAGAAAGGTCTAGTAAACTGGTATGTATCAAATTGTTCAATACATTTTAAATTCTAGAAACAGAAGTCAAAAACAGTCAAAGTTAAAATTTAAATTGGTCTAAAACTTTTAGGAGCTTTGTAGAACTTCAGACATAATTGAATAGGATGAAATTACCATTATTTTATTAAAACAAAATAAACTACCTTTTAAGATGCTTACATACAGAGTGATTATAAAGTCTCAATCCATTTTTGTGAAAATAGTAACTAAATCAGTTATGTGCAAGTCATGTGAAGCAAGTAGGCCCAAGAAAAGAGAATTGCTATGGTTTGCACATGTTTGAGTGGATTAAAATAAAGTACCATGAAATCAACCTGTTCCTTAGCTTTCAAAATATCATGACACATTGCTTGGAAGGTGGCATAGTCCTCTTTCTTCTCTCCAGCTTATATAACACCTGAACATGCTATGCACATTTTATGAATTTCTAATGAAAGATCTCTCACATTGTCAATTGTGGTTCAGTGAACACCCGAATTAGTGTTCTGATTGATGATCTAGCTGTGTTGTTGCAATTTCTATACATTGAAAAATTTTGTCTGGTATTGTGAGTTTTCCAGAACATTGTGCATCATGTGCATTACCTGTTTACCTGAATTTGTTAACCAACAATCTGATATTGGCCCTGGTAGGAGCAGACTTTCTGAATTTCTAGTTGATGTTAGTCTGTGCTTTCATGTATGTTAATCCACTAAATCATCCACAAACAAAAACAGTTCTTTCTTCTTGGATCAGCATATTTTACACAATTACTATTTTCACAAAAATGGATTGACTTTATAATCACCTTGTATATTTTATTACAGAACTACAGTCAAAATAAAAATTGTTGCATTTAAGAGTTAAAAGCTACAGCATGCTTTTTTTTATTTATTTTTTATAAGCATTCCTTACTTGATAAAGATGAAATATTTTATACTTAATGATGGTTACATTAAGATCTTTTACAAAGTTTTAAATATGAAAAATTTATATTGTTCTGTTATTTTCATTTAAACATTTTCTGTTTTGATATTGGGATAATAATTGTAAGTATTAACTTATAAGTACATAGGTCTATAATATTTTAGGTTGTGATGGTAATTATATTCAACTATAGCTGAATATCTGAAGATAGACTTTCAAAACTTCAAAAAACATATTTACATAAAATTAATTTTTGATTATTATGAAGATTCAAATTCTTCTGTTATGTCTCTCTTAATTCAAATTGGAAAATATAATTATCTGGCATCTGTTGACCTATCTATAATAATGATGATTTTCTGTAGTTGAATAGAGTGTAGTTTTTTCTCCTTTAAGATTTATAGGCATTCACAATATTTCTTATATTTTATCTGTAAAACTGGAAGAGTAATTTCCTCATTAACTAATGTATTAATATTGAAAGATCAAGAATCAGAGTTTTACCAACCTATATTTTACTTCATGTATATGAATATTTATTGGTTAACTTCTTATTTGACTTGGATTATATGTGCTTCTAAACTTAATTTTCTGCATAAAATTTAAGACTTAAAGACTTATTACTAAAATTTAGAAATAGTTTGTTAAAATTTCTCTGATAGATCATTCTAAATGATAAAAGATTCACTTGCACTCAAAAAATAATTTTTTTTCTAGTATTTAATAAAAAAGAAAGACAAATATATAATTTATTTACAATATAATATTTGTTCAAAACATCACTAAGTCAGCCTGTATCATCAATGTATTATCAAGATTTTCAACAAAGTGAAATATAAATAAACTGATATAGTGTTTCATTAATAATAAGATTTTTGGAATGCTTATTTAAAGCACTATAAAACTGATTCAGCATAGAAGCATACTCTTTGCAAATATGGCTCAGTATATGGTCAACACATATCAGTTTTATTACAGTTAACATTATATTCCAACTTTCATCATTATCTTTTGTATTTTCAGAAATTTGTCTAATTTTTTTTTAATGAATTGAAATGATTGAAAGAGTAACTTTGATAGTACTAACATGAGTTATTTATTTTAATCCTATGATTTTACATAGCTGCAATCAGGAACTAATGTTACACAATTTTATACTTTTAATGCATATAGTAACCTCAAAAATTATTTTACTTCTTCAACTTATGTAAAGATAATTTAATTCATAAAATATATGTGTTGGAATTTCCAATTATTATATATTTTTTAAATAAGTGTTTCATTATTATNATATAATTTGACCTAAAAGTAGACAGTTAGGCCACTTTGTTGCTCTAAGATTAAAAAATAGAATTAATTTAGTAGTATTAATAAACAGATTTAATTTAATGTAGTAGTTTAGAAAATTCTGGATGAAAAAATCAGTCTGGACTGTGAGTGCAACCCACTACACAGCTTTTGATTATGCTACTCAAACTTCCATCTAATATTCATTTCCAGACATGTATTAGTTTCAATTATATAGTTATACAGATTAATTGGAAAATCAGAACAAAGTCCACATAGAATAACTAGAAATGCATCTAATATTGCAGATTCAACTCCAGATGATCTCTTTCTCTGTGTAGGTTTCTTTACCACATGAACCGTAAATTTCAAAGCAACAGATAAAACTCTAAACATCAAGTGTTGAAACTGTATAATATTTTTTTAAGAACCTGAGTAAATTAGTAAAACTATTGAATTTTAACAGATTCTCAGGTTTTCAGCAACAGATTTGTCAGGTTGAGAACCTAAGAAAAGCTATTAAAAACATGCAGTTTTTTAAAATGAAATAGAATAGAATTTTTTTTTTGGAAATTTAAAATACATTTTTATTGATTTTAAACAACACATGATTTTCATTATAACTATCAAAAAATATTTAATTAATTATCAATAATTTATTCCTGTGCTATTTTTATTTTTAAACAAAATCATTAAATACAAAACATAAGTAAAACTAAGTAAGACTCTTTATTCATCAAACATTTTCTTTACATTGCTCAAAGATTATGTATTTCTGTATTTTATACATGCAAGATTAAAAACAAAGGAAAAATAGTGTGCAAATTTATGTGAAGTTTTACTAATAAATATTTAATCAATTATGTTTGAAAAAAACTAAATGATATAAAAAAGCTGATTAAAAATATTTTACAGCATAACAAATAATAAAAAAAGTATTATTGCAAATGGATAATTAAAAGAAAATTAAAAAATTTGATAATAGTTTAGTGTCTAGATGACTACAGTTGATAGCTTTTCAGGTGTTTATTATAATATATTTATAGTTGAATGAGTATTAAATTTTATTTCATTTATGTTTAGATGTTCATTTTAATATGAATGCACGAAATGCTTGGAAATTATACTGTTCCCCAAGGAAGAAATGGTTTTTGTTTTATACAAAAACAGCTGCTGAAAAGTCAAAATGGATAAATGCATTTAAAGAAGAACGTAAAATTGTAAAAGAAGATGAGTCTCAAGGTTTGTAGTAGTTATTTTTATTTAAATTGCAAAAATCTGGACTTAAAATTTTTCCTAATTCAACAGTAACAAAAATAAAATTATTTTCAAATTAGAAATTACAAATAATAATAATAATAATAATAATAAGCATAGACACCACTAAGCAATCGTGGGCTCAAAAGACACTCCATGGCAGGCATCCTTATGACCTGGCCCAGGATTTTGTTGACAAAACTGCATCAAACAGCTGGTTAGATCGGGGAAGCCTCTTTGGGGAGACAGAAGGATTCATGAATGCCATACAGCAGCGCTATCCAACTTACCATAGCCCGCAGGCCATATTTCCTTTACCAAACATTTCGGGGGCCAAGAAGGTTGATAAACAACATGACATTTGCATAGTGCTACGGTTCAGTAAGCACTAATTGGTCAGCGAGTCCGATGTTGACGCTATAAAAAGGCGACAGTTCGACACACCGGATATACGTCACTCTCGTCTAAGTTCGACTTGGGAATTTTTTTGTTCAATAATAAATGTGAATTCTTCTTCCTGGAAAAAATAAGACATTCCCTGAAAATAAGACCTAGCGCATTTTTCAGAGCAAAAATTAATATAAGACACTGTCTTATTTTCGGGGAAACACGGTAGTAAAATAATTTTA